TCCCAAGATACTGTTCACCCTTCAGCATTAGCCACCAAAACCTGCCTGGTATATATAGTAATTCACACTGCATTGAAGTTCTTCAAATATAGCTCATGAAAATCTGTTGCATAAGAAGTGCCAGAGTGAATTCTGGCTAAAGTTTTGGTTTTCTTCTAATGAAAATTTGTAATTTACTTTTTCAAATGGATCAGTTTAATATCTGTAGGGCAAAACTTAAACCTTGCTTGAGTATTTAAGGTTGCTTATGTTTTATAATAAAGTAATTTGCACAGCATCCTCAAAACTGGGAAAAGTAAACAGCAACATACCATCAAAATCTATTTTCAACTTAGCTTTTGAATGCATTCTCAGAATTCCTATCTAGGTCAATACATTGAAGTCACCCAGAATACACGTGAATGATTGATTTTGCCATCTGAAATAGTAATATCATAATAGAGTAAAGCACCTGTGTCATTTCTGCCTTGAATGGCTGTTAGGGTAATAACACAGAGCAATGAACTGTCTAGTGCAAATAATGAGAACAGTTAAGCTTTCATGGTCTAAACAGCACACTTTGTGAGGAGCAAGATTTATAGAAAGCTTGTTTCACAAGAGATAGCATCATCAGCTCTTATGAAGACCTATGTAATCAGGATTTTCTTACTTTCAGCTCACAGTACCCAGCACTGCATTTTGCATAATTAAGGTAGCTTAGGCTGCTACGTAATGCTCCTCAGCTGGCATACACACTATTTACAGTAAGGCTTGCTACAGTAGGAGTCCCAATGTTTGATATTTCCATTATTATCAGAAAGAAAGTGGTTCAAGTCTTTGAGCATAAATGGTGCCCCACTGATCTCAGCTGAGCATATAGCTCATCCTGATAAATGTCACTAAAATAGCAGTTAAGTTTTTCTGAAAAGTATGACAGTCTTATTAGCAAGTGAATCAAACATTTTCAGAGGTAGTTTGGTTTTTTTTGTGTGTGTGTTCACTGGCTCACTAGGATACTGGATGAATTTCTTGATGGTTTTTTAAGTCTATTTTACAGTTAAGGAAAAACTGTCTTAGAATTTATAATTATTGTGTCTACTCATTTATAGTTCCCCAAATGTCCAGAGTAACTCTGGAAATACAACAGCACCTATTCTATATCAGATTAATTCCACTTTTTCCCCTTGTTGTCATTGTCCTTAGGTGCTAGAGTGCTGCACTTATATTTACAATCCACTGCAATTTAAAAATTTTCCCCATGTCTGCATGGTCCTTCCACATATGACAGGAAAAGCTATTTCTCATGATGAGGCTCTCCAAATGCAATATGTTAGTAACCATAACAACATTCTGGTGACCCAGTCAAAAAGGAATTTTAAAAACAACAGCAACCTCACAAGAGAAAAACTTGGCATTGTAGACAAAAACATAGGGCTATTGTGGGCCTAAGGAAATCGATGATGTTTGAATTAGATTGTTATTTTCTTGCTGTTTCAGCCAGTTTTACCTGTTGCAACTTATATTCTTCAGAATGGCTAAAGCATTGAATGTTTTCAGGTTTTCCATTTTGCCAGCTGTACCAAAATCTTCAGGCTGTACCCAGACATTTCAGAGAGGAAGAATTATTAAAAGTTTTAATACTTCTACTCAAACAAATCATAGAACAAAGAGATATTTACATAAGCAAGGGTTGCTGAAAGATGCAGAAGCTTGGTTCTGCAGAACCAAATGGAAAGCTTGTAATGTAATCCCACTAACAAAACACTTCCAACCAAGAGAATTTAATGCATCAGAGCTTTCTAAAACCACTGCATTTTAATTACCATTCAGAGATTGAATGGAAGCAGTATTGATCCAAACTACAATGGTACATTTCTGGGCAGGCATCTTTTCTGTGTTTTCTAGCTTAACTTCCTATTCCACCAGGAAAACATAAAAAATGTATATAAACCAGAGTGGTTTATAATGATGGCAGAATGGAGAGTATTAACAACAGAAAATTTGGGTTATTTTTATTACTGCTTTGGTAAACTCTTCCAGTGTTTCAGCTTTCTACTGTTTTCATTTGCATCATTTTAGTTTGAAATGATTGCTTTTTCACTTCTGGTATCTCTGGCCAATGTGCTGTGCAATTACTAAAGGGTCACTAAGTACCAGGCCACTTTTATGGTAGCTGTCTCCAACCCTGTCTTTTAGTTTGATTTTTTGCAAAAGACTGAACTTCTGAAGGGAGAGGCAGGGGGTTTCAAGTGTTCCTAAAGGATGAACATTCTGGAATATTGCTGAATATTCTAGAATAATGTATAAATTTGGCATTTAGCTTCTGTAACAGTTGCAGGCCACTCTCACCTGCAGATACTACAGGAGTCACATCTGTTCTATTAGATATTGTACTGTAAAATAATGACTATATATAATTAGGTATTTATCCTGGTTCAGAAGTGTGCAGGCAAATCATGACCTGCTTCATGTTAGAGTACAAAAAGGTGTTAAAAAGAACCATTTCATCTTTCATCTGAAAGGAAATGGAATACTGTCTTTCAATATAATGTTTTTTCAAGCTAGATGACAGAATAGATTTTGCCACAGCAGTATAATAAAGGGCTGTCAAATTCATGCTGCTGCCACTTAATAAATATTAGTATGTCTGTCTGCTTTTTGTTTACTGAAAGATGTCTTTGGGAGAAATGACAGCTATATGTTAGTAAACTAATTTTTTAGAGGTTTGCGTTGCCAAAAATGTGTGGCTAGCTGAAAGCTGCAGAACTCAGTTCTGCTGTTGTACAAAACAATATAATGTCATTAATTCCAGGCCCTTTGTAAACAGGTTTTCTTTAAAAGAAGACATGCATATCAAAAGGGGCACATTAACCAATTTTTGATAAGAACTGATTTTTTTTATTTATGGCTAGAAATATTTTTGGGTTTATTTCTCATATCTTAGGTTTCTATTTCTCTTTCATTCACAATTTTAGCTTGTTTCCATTTTATAAGTATTTCTACTCATTGGTTTTCATGAAAGTTCAATTTCTACAAATTGTTTTTCAATTTTATTTTATTTCATTTTTAAAATATGGGAAAATTGGTGTCCAGTTCTAGGACAGTAGCTGAAGAAAATTTTGACAAAATATTGTGTGTTTTCTTAAGTTAAAGGCAATTTTTCTTTTTCATTTGTCTGTATTGTCTCCAATGTTTTACACAAAATCTCGTGTTTCTCTGTTATGTAGAACACTTGCACTTTTGCATTCCCTCTCCAACCCTTTTCAGACCTGACAGAATTGTGTTTCCATCATTTGCCTTGCTTAGTAGCTGGAAGTTTTCCCTATGCTCCTCTAGTATTCCTGTGTACAGGATTTTTCACAGAAACACAGAATCACCAAATATTTTGGTTTATAAGGGACCTCTGGAGGTCATCAAGTCTAATTCCCTTGTCAGCTTCTGTGCAGAGCTGCTCCCCAGACAGCTGGCCCCCAGCCTGCAAAAGTGCAGGGGTTGTTCTGCCCCACGTGCCAGACCTTGCATTTGGTTCTGTGGAACTTCATAAGATGCCAGTCAGTCCATTTCTTTATCCTGTCCAGGTTTTCCTGGAGATTTTCCTGAAGGATGGTTTTCCATCCAATCTACAAGAGGATGAAAGAGATCTTTGGCTCTTTGTTGCTTAGCTACAGACAATTTGAAAGGGATCTTGCAGACATTAACAAGAGTTAGGATTAGATTTATCATGTATAGATTAATTTAACCTAGGACTGAAGAGTATCTTCTTATGTGCACTGTACAGAGTTTGAGGAGATCTAAATGCCTCTAGTGAGTCCTCCTATATTCTCATTTGAAACCATGCATATTGTCCTCTGAAAACAACTTTTTTGATCTCTCCCTCTCTCCACTTAATGCAGAGAGAAGCTCAAAACAAGGCTCACCACAATTTAGTGTTTGGTAACCTGAGGTCTTCTCTCTCTGGGTCATGCTGGACTTCTAGTAAAGTCATTCCATATGTGGTCAATACATAAATATTACATGTTGAGTACTAGACTGTGCCATTGATCATGCATCCATCTGCACAAGTGTTTTAAGAGCAGCCTCCTTCTTTTTTTCCAGCTGCCAGCACAAAGATGGGGATGAATGCATTGAGAGGACTGTGTGGCTAGCTACTGAATAAGGACCAGTCTTACATACTGGGTCATTCCTTCTGCTATATCTGCTTTCACTTCTGCCAACTTGCTTTGATATTGGTTATCCAGATAAGGAAAATTTGATCCTGCTGAAGTAATTATTTCTACCATCTTCTTTCTCTGGAGGCAGCATATGCAATGATGCACTGTCCTACTGGTGTGTGCAAAATGGATGCCAAAAAGAGCTGTGTGATAAGTGAACCTTAAAGAAAGAAGGAAAAAGAGTAGGAAATTCTGAGGACCATTCTGGCCCAATGGTGTGGGCATTTCTAAATGGAAACAAAAGTTCATGCATTATGGTTGCACATTGTGCTGTACTCTGGTTTAATGTGTGATGGAGAACACCCCTCAGGGGCCATCCTATACAAAGGGTCAGGCACAACTGCTGTCACATTCTCTACAATGTCTCCTGTTTTGCACTGCTTGATGATGTGGGTTGCAGCCCTGCAGATATGCTAAAAAAATTACAATTTTGCTGTAACACATCTAAATTAGTGCTATTTATGTCCACCTTCATATTCGTGTGTCTGCGTGCTACTGATTTCTATTTCTACCCAGGTTACTTTTGCACTGCTAGAACTACATACTAGTCTGACAGTGTATAAATAATACATTGTATATGGCAGGATTGACTTTTTCTTCCAACACCCTGTCACTGAGGGGAAGCAATACAACATGCATTTCCATTTTCCTACCTCTAGATTTCATTATAGCAATTTCCAGCACCACCCCCAAGAAAACCGCAAAGCCTTGCATCTTTGCTATTTTAATTTATATGTTCACAGTTTTATTTTAAGTTATATACTCTCTCATATTACCCAATGGATTAGAAAGAATATATGAACAATCTTTTTCATGAGCCTACATGTAGTGAGAATGAAGGAGCAGTGTTGCCATAATGGAAACATTATGTGGCCAGGTGATCAACATGTGCCTCCCACACAGGTAATGGTATGTTAAATGCCATATGTTTGGTATATTTAAGGCTGGTTGATAAGAAAATTCAATTCCATTTTGCATAACTTATATGTAGGTAAACTTGTATGGATTTCTTTCAGCCACAACATGGGATTTTTCACTTCATCCAAAGGTCTTCTATTTAGTAGCTGATGCAGAAGAGTGACTAAATTAAATTTATGTTTTAATTTTCAGTAATTCATTGTGCTTTGAACTGCTAGCCCAAGGATTTTTTTCATACCTGTTTACATTGTGCTGAAGAAAATGCTGATAGAACATCTGACACATCTGATTATGCTTCATTCTAAAAGAAATCACTCCAACCTCTTTTAGAATGCAATTTACAGGACTTATAAAGCTCTAGTATTTATAAAGGCATGCAGGAATGGGGCTTTATAAATCTCTGGCTCAGATTCCAAAAAGAAAATTAGTCTGCAGACTTCTTTTAGAGCAGATAATTCTTGCTGCTCTGTTGTTCATTGCTGCAAACAGACAAACACAAGATCAATGCCTTGGCAGCTAATGGAGATTGTGGGTGAAGTTTTGAGTTTCATTTGGCATTTGCTCTAAACTGCTCATTGCAGCTGTACTCAGATACCCTCTCTCAGGGTAAAAGCTGATTACCCAAATTTTATTAAACTGTTCTTTTACAGAAGTATTATGAATCTTGACAATATGATGTGTGACAGTAACTCCTAAATGAAGCCAACCTAACAGCAGGACACTGTTCTCTAATGGATTGGTGAGACCATGATGCCCACATCAAGAGTAGAGCAGACCTTTCTAGATTTAGCTTTTTCCGTGTTTAATAGGTTCTTTGAGCAATGTGGTGAAAATTCATTTATAGATTTCAATATACTTATCAGAGACATAATTTTTTTATATTGCATATAACAGATGATTTAGCAGAAATGTTATATTAATTCAGGTAATTCAGTGTATGCATTTCATTTCCTCTTAAAAATGTGTAGATCATTAATATTCATGCTTTTTGCAAGAGAAATGGCAAATCATCAACTGACCTAATTGGTTTCATTTTATCTGCAGTGACTCTGCCCTAGATTCTTGTTCTTCTTTCTGCTATTCTGTTTTAACTTATGAAAACTATTTGTGATCAGCTTTCATATGGAGTAGTAATTCCAGGTACATTGAGAAGCAGAAGAGCTAAATGCCAGCCATAAACAAGACAGTTTTTGAGCTTTTTCCTAGCTGGGCTAGTAGACCCTTAATTTTATTAATTAATTTTATTAAGCATATTCATTTTGTAAGCACAGGGTGAGTGAATTCAGAGGATAGATTCCTGCAGTCATAGTTATGTTCAGCTTGACCCATGTAGGTTTCCCCTCTATAATTCTTTCGGATTTTAAAAAGATGTTTGGGCACCTCCTGGGACAGCCAGGGTATCTATTGGGGCTGCATTAGCCACTGATGTGCTTTTGAGTATCTGTGCCTCAGAGGCACAGAATAGGAAGTAAAAGAGGTGTTCTGGCATAACTTTCCTTTTATCCCAGTGTTAGAAGAGCTGCACTGAAAAAGAGCATGGCACAGTCCTAAAAACTGTCTGCCTAGGGGTTCCTGAAGCTGTGAGCAGAGACAGAGTTTAAAGAGCAGTAACAACAAAGGGCAACTTTTGGTCCATTTCTTCCCAGAGCAAGCAAGGTCACAATAAAAACTCACAAAAACAAACATAAAAGCTATGCCTGGGCTTTTTTTTCTGACATTTTGGTACCAGGAAGGTCACACAAACAGCACTGCTGCAACACAGGGAACAAAATTTTAATGTAAAATGACAGCCAATGATATTACTGTCAGTAGAAAGTTTGACTTCTGCTTTCAAGTTGCTCTGAATCGCTTCTGAAATGGTGACATCAATATGAATGTTCCCAGCAGCAAGAGCCACAGTAGAAAATGTTTAGAACTTTGCCTAATTTCTGACAGTTAATGAGACCTAGAGGGAATATTCACAGAGCAAAAAGCACCTTGTTTTGTCTTGTTTGCTTTCTAATGCAGAATATTTATTTGTCTCTAGTCACTCCCTAATGACACTTCTGTCTTTCCATCTTCAGCCTGTGTAATTCAGGATATAAATAAATAAGTGGAAAAAGACTTTGCAAACTATTTTTAAAAACTGTTTCTATGCATTTCCCCTGTGGGACCTCTGCTCGTGTTTGGTAAGTATGTGGAGTTGTTTGCCTTCCTGGTCTCTGGCCCAAGAGAGCCAAGGGGTGTAGTCCTGAGCCATTTTCTCCAGCTTCCATGCAGAAAAGGCCTTTAATGATACACCCTGGCCTGTACACTGGCTGCCATGCACATGGATTGGCACGTGCATGGACTGCCAAGGTGGCATGGTAGTGCTCAGACGCAAGGGTGGTGGCTCTGCCTCGTAATCTTATTTGGAAGAAGGGCTGTGTTCACTGAAAGGCTGGTATGGAGAGTCCTCCCTGCACAGCCCATTGTGCAAGCACAGATTAAGGAGGAAGATTTTGTTCTGTAAATACATTTGTCCTCTTGGGTGCCCTGTCAGGACAGACATCCTTCTCAGCCTGACCCGGCTTTGGCATGTACAGACACTGCCTGTGGCACTGATGCTCCCACACAGTCACCAAACAAACTGGGGGTCCCACAGGGGAGGACAATTTGGGTCTTGTCTGCAAGGGGACGGAGTGGGAGTGGAGAAAGAAGAGACTTGTGAAGCTGGTTACAGTAGAAGGTTGTGAAGAGGTTACAGTAGAAGGTCAGGACTAAGTGTGTGTGTGAAGGCACAGCAAAAGAAAAGCCACCTTCAACTTTACCCATTTGTTTGAAATTTTAGTAGTTATCAAACTGAGTATTATAATTCCTTTTGAATTAGTCCTGCTATGTCTTAATTCACTCCTTACGCTATATTGGTGTGATTCACTATTTTGAGTATTTTGCAGATGAACTGTTTAACAAATCTTAAAGAAAACACTATGATGCTCTAGGAAAATGAGGCAAATAGACCTTCACAGACAAAGCTGTATGAAGTTTACCAGTTTCAGTTGTCTAGAATTCTTGATTTTTTAAAATTCTTTAACCAAATTATTTAAATTAGAAAACAGGGTTTTGTTGTTTTTTTTTTTTTTTGGTGGGTTTTGTTTGTTTGTTTGTTTGTTTGCTTGTTTGTTTGTTTTTGTTTTTAGTGGAGAATTCCAGAGGAAAATTCTTTGCAAATTTTACTTTTGACAGATTTTGTTTAAAAGGTGATTAAAGCAGTGGAGATATTTTGATTCTAAACTCAGGTTCTGAAGCTTTTATGCCAAGGTTACTCTGTACTAAACTAAACTTATTTTTAGGTTTGTACAGGTTTTCAAAACACTTGGGAGGACAAACCTGGAGTGGAATGGATGTTGTTTGGCTTTGGATTGTGTTGTAAAAGCTTTTCTTATCCTGTAAAAGCTTCTCCTCCACAGAGAATAGCTTTCTATTCCTTTCAATTGACAAAAGCTCTTCAGTTCTGTTTGCTTCATAAAATCTTTTATATAATGTGAAATTCTGCATTCCATCTTTGTGAAATTATCTAAAAAAACAAGCATATTCAAGGAAATACGTGTGTTTTAACACAAAGAGCTACCTCTCATTCTGGAGCTATTCCATATCTTGCTTACTTTAGGGGTTTAGGGGAAGACGAACCTAATTCTTTGAGTACCAGAGTCTGCAGAAAATCAGGAGAAATGGGACTAATTCTATAACACATAAAGGACATTCAGGTCTTGGTAAAGGATGAAATAGGAGAAGTCTCTGACACATTTTCCCATCCTATATTTTGTCAGATTGCAAATCTCCTCCGATAGTCTTACTAGAGTTTATTCTTCTTTTGTTGACAGTCTCGAGGAAAAGAAGAAATTACTTACAGTTTAAGTAACATAAATGAATTTTCTGACTACATTTCCACTTTCAAATTAGAATATTTCCTCCTGCTTCAGAACAGCAGAACAGTACAAATAAAGTAAGAAATAGATAACAAATTTGCAAAGAACTTATTTTCCATATGAGTCCACACAGCCTTTGAGGTCTCCAAGCACTATATATATCAGAGAAGAAATCTAATAATCTGGACCATCAAATAATGGAATTATTCAGTTTGCAAGAAAACTTGGAGGTTTTTAGTCCAGCAACTTTCTTAAAGAAGACTCAGCTCTCTGAAAAGAGCAGATTTGTTAGGACTGCATTGCCAGGTCTTGAAACTACTAAGGACGGATATTTTACAGCCCCTGCTACACTTTAGGGTATTTATCCATTGGCAGTTGCAGTAGAAATACCCAAGAAAGCACATGGATGGCTTTTACATATAGCACAGGAAGTGCTTATTTCCTTTTAATTTGTACATGTTGCATCCTATCTCCACCTTGGTGAAAGAAAGATATTTCATGTTTATAGTTTTATTATTTTATTTCAAGTAATTAAATTTATTTGCTTATCTAGATCAAACAACTTCAAAAACAGACTGAGGAAACTGAGCAGTGTTTTCTTAATGATTTTTTTCCCTGAAGTTGTATAATCTCAGGCACTATAAATAGCTTTGACTTTAATGTTTTTGTTTATAAGCTACTGTTATCTAAAACACTTGTGTCTTTTCCCAGTTGCTCCAAGACAAAGTATTTTTTCATTATTAAGCAGACTGGATTTTGTTTTTGTAAGCTGTACATTCTTGAGTGATATATTCTGTTATGTAACTGTCATGTATGTAAACAGTTGGGGTTTTCCATGTAAAAAATCAAATTCTTGTGAAGATGCCAGTTTTATGAATAGGATGTTAGTGCTGTAAGTATTAGAAAGTTGCGCAATAGTTTCAGCATCCTGGGCTGGCTGGGGAAGGGCACTGTCAGCAGATTTTGGGAGGTGATTCTTCCTCTCTAACCAACTCTGGTGAAACATATCTGGAATTCCAGGTTCATTTCTGGGCTCCCTAGTAAAAGAAAGAGATGGACTGGAATGTGTCCAGCTAGGGCCACTAAGATTATTAAGGTACTGGAGCATTTCTAGTACAAGGAGAGGCTGAGCAAGTTGGGATCGCTCAGCCTGAAGAAGAGCTGACTCAGGGCATCCTATTCAAGTGTAGGAATATTTGCTGGAGAAAATAAAGCAGTTAAAACCAGATTCTGCTAAGTGATGGTCAGTGGCAGGACAAGAGGCAGTGGATAAAAGCTAAACACTGGAAACTACAATTAAATACAAGGTTTGTATTTTTTCCAGTGATTGTTATCGAACACTGGCACTCTGGTGCTCTGAGAGGTTCTGGCATCTCCATTCTTGGAGAGATCCAAGCCCTTCCTGGTCAGTGTTCAGTGCTGCTGTAGTTGACCCTACTTTGAGAGGAGGATTGGAGTAGAAGGTTTCTGGCATTGCCTTCCAGCCTTAGCAATTCTGTGATTTGGTATTCGGATTCTTTAACTTAACCCATTTTTATTAGGTTCTATAGTTCATATTTTTCATAAAAGAGGCATTTGCTGTTTTTTGGGTGTATACTCTAAACATTGCTGTATGTATGGATGTGTAGCTCACCCATGTGTGCTAAAACAAGATAAAGCAGTTGAATTATTAGCATAGACTAAAGCTACGTCATTACTTCTTTTCATCAGAACATTGCAGAGCAGATCTATATTTAACTGTTGTCCAAAATGATGTGCTGAACTGTGTTCAGTGAACATAATTCATAGTGAGAGTGTGGCACTTCCACTGGCATTATGAATGAAAGATCAAAAGGATTATTAGATTGCTACTTCTCAGTTTGTGACATTCTGTCTTGGTTTCAGTCTGACAATAGATTGCTTTAAAAAAACATGACTAACTCTCAATTATTTTTTTTTTTTTTAATTAAGAAGGGAGTGGAAAATTTAATGTCTCCCTCTAAAGTAACAATATTGCTTTTTCTTTCTTTCGCCAACCATAAATGAAGTACAGCCAAATTTTTAAGGTGAAACTAGCTGCTTCACCTCCCTGTTGACTTATTTAAAATTCTGAACTGTGGAAAACAGGTTTGTGAAATATAGCTTCATACATACCAGTGAGTTTCTCCAAGAGAAAATTCCTGTCTGTTTATGTAATAGGAGAACTTTTGCCTTATTTCTGGACATTCTGCATGAAGACTACAAAAAAAGACAAGTTTGAGTTTCTTTCTTTAATAGCCATAGAAATACCATCATAGCTACATCAGTAATAATTACTGATTACTTCTTGTCATAATTTAAAGTTTCTGCTAGTTTCAGTATCACAGTGTTTGATATTTGTAGTTGGAAACATATGACTGGGAGGTATCTGGACCATTGCACAGGCAAATCAGAATATAATTTATTTGTAACTACTCTATTTATATTTTAAATCCTTCTTCTTTGATTTGTTTTCCATGGGCTATTTAGTAGGAAGTGAAAAAATTCTTACACCTTCCAAATCCATCCTTATCTCAAAGTATCTATCAACAAAGATAGAAATATCCTTCACTGAGATCAGTCTATGAATTTTAAGGGTCAGTCCTCCTCTTTTAGGAAAAAAAAAAAATGCTTCAAGTACATTCATACAATTTTTATGAACTCCTTCAGACTAATTAATGAGATCTGGAACACATCCTTTAGACTGGGGCTGAATCCTCAGGGGAGCAATTGTAGCTTTGGGTCCACGAGTTGAAATGGACACATTTTATGTGCATGAGCAGCTAATGTACCAGGCCTAGCACTAAAACAGGGATCAAGCCAAACTCATGATGTATATGCACCCTCTGATGGTTGTTTCAATGCACTGTTTAATTTTTATTTTTTGGGGGAGGAAGGGTAATATAAAAGCTGTGGTAATGAGTTCTTATTCTGTTTTATTATATCTTCAGAAATTGAAGTTTATTGTTTTCCAAGCACAGCTTTCCTTGAAAATCAATCTAAATTACCTTTTTGTTTCAAATGTGAATTGAATGTACTGCAGCTATTGCTGATTAGCTGTACATGGGGACATACTGCTACAGTCATGCCTGTTTGTGTTTATCTTCATTCTTTCTGAAAAGAAAAGGTCAGAAAGGAGAAAATACAGCATAGAGGAGTGGAATTGATTTGGAATGGCAACATGAAGTGCTGTGATTGGAGAAGTGCTAAAACCAGCGAAAACAGCTAAAAGGGTAGGGAGGCATTTGTAAAAGCACAATGTGCAAAGTGTGAAAAGAGACAAAAGAAACCATGTCTGGCTGATTCCTGTCACGATGCTTTTATGGTCATCAGTGTCTGTGTTGTCTGCTGGTTGTGACCCCAACACAAGATAATGTGTGTGAACTCAAACATTCTTTCTCTTCTGTCTGGGTGTCTCTGCCCACCAATACACCTGCCATATGTTTTTAGTTCCTCTGGAATAATATGTATTGAGAACAGTAATATCTTTATTAAAAATTTGTTGAAATAAAGACATTAATTTTTCCTTTATAAGCTTGGACTATAAAATGGATCTACTCTACTGATATGCATAGCCAAGCCAGCGCTAGCTAAATTACAGTTTCATATTAGTTTTGTCCAAAACCAAACAAATTCTGCTTACTTATTTTTGTAGACTAATATACTTAAGAAATTCAGTGCCAAAAGTTACACTGAGAATAGTCATTAATAATCATAACCTGCAAGCCTACAAATCTGCAGAAAACTTGCCTCTGTATTTAAGACAAAGAAATATTTACCCTAAAAATACTGTCAGAATGACATTCAACAGCTTGTTATACACACAACCAAGCAGAAATGCTGTAATGTTTCCAAACACTGCTTAGCTTACTTAAGACCATGCATATATTAGTACCAATTATAAAAGTCATTCTGCACTGCCATTTTCCTGAAGAATCCACTGTTTTCTTATAGAAAGCACATATTCAGTGTCTATATCTCTAGAGTGTAGATGCAGAAGCAGGAACACTCATGAGAAATAAATGAAAAAGACCTTTCCAGCTCACTGAATGAAGGGATAGCTCTATTTTTGAATGCCATTACTGAATCCGAATTTCTATTTCAGCTCTTGGGAATCACCTGGGGAGTGATGCCTCTCATGAGACTCTTCACCAGTCCTATTTGCAGTATGTGTTTGCCTTGTAGTGCTTTAAGTCATGAGTTTCTAGCAGGCAGCACTTTGGTTCTTTGTCATATTGAATTTCCCTAAACTTAAAAAAACAATGTAAAATTGCTAGACTCAAAAGCTCACCCAAGTTCATTAGTCTTTATCCAAGTTAAGCCCTTGGGTTAATGAGTTAAAGAGGTTTGTTCCTATCCCCTCTGGAAGTCAAAGTCCTGTAGGAGGTCCTACCTGCATGGAAAACCTGTAATTTCTTCTGTCCTCTCTTGTGAAGTCTTGCTTGCTTGCAAATCCCACGTAGCTGATTTCAGCCTGTTGTTTGGACATCTTCTTCAGGAAATATATCTTACTTATTCCATGTCTTCTCTCTATGGGAGGAGGGAACATGTATCTGCTAGGGAAACACCTCGTGAGTTGGGATTGTGAGATGTGTAAAATTGTTTGTGTATTGGTCTCTGTAACATGGAGTTGGTATGTGAAACAAAGTTTTAGAATGATCAGTGAATCAAAAACTGGGAAAAACTGACCCTCTGTTAATTGGCAGACTTGAGGGAAGGGCTGGGGATGTGGGGCTGTTTATATACATTTAGTCTGGAAAATATGCAGTAATTTAATTAGTTGCATGAGCAATACCAGAATTGTAAGTATTTGCTATACACTATGAGCTTTCAATTTTGGTGATTTACCACAAGCCAGCTTTTGTGGGGTTTGTGACAAAGGGCTTTTAATGGCAAGGGTACATGTCTGGCTTGAACTTAGTGACAACCAGAACATCCAGGTCTTTTTCTGCATATCTGCTTTTCATCTCTGGGTGGCCCCATCATGTAATGCTGCCTGGGGTTGTTCCTCCCATGTAAATGGCAGATGCAACTTAGCTACATTAAACTCCTTGTATTTGTTCTTTTCTATTTCAGCATCTTTCTGTTTTTGTAGTTTTTTTGGTTTTTTTGGTTTTTTTTAACCTCATTACCTTGTAGGTATTTCAGAGAAGAAAACTGTGAGTTATAGCGGAGAGCTCAACTGACTATTCCATGGGAAAGGCCCTCAGATTGGGTTTGTGTTTCAATGGCTATGCCCAGTCAAGAGGGAGAGTCTGGAGCACAGGACTAATAAGTCATGAGTCAGTCTCAGACTTAGTAATGCAAATTACCAATAAAGTACATGACAGTTTATCAGTGCATGACTAGTTTGTGGAACTAGTCTAAGTGTGTTAGAAATCTATTGTGTTTTGAAATCCAAATTAAGGTATTTGTTATATACTAACAGAAATGTTATATACTAACAAGATCGCAGACAGTCTGTTGGAGCATTTTCTTTTCTGTTTCTTCTAAGTTCTATTTGGCTTCAAGAAAAAGTGCAGCATGAAATATTCTATAGCATACTATTGACTTCAGTGTGATCCATCTGGGGAGTAGGTGTCAGCTCTGGACCATGCTCAACTCTGTGCCACTAAGGCTGGATTTGCTGTGGCCAGTAGTAGTGGCCAAGATAATTAGAAAACTCCAGTAACCATGTCCAAGATTGGCACTTACACATTATTTTCTCTTGCTGTTTCAGACATTCCTGCAGTAGCCTGGATGCTGGCCAAGGTTAACTGCAGTCCCTGGGACAGATGGGCAACTCTGAGCACTGCCTTAGTTGCAGGAGGGGCAGTTTGTCAGCACATCGTATATCACAGGTGGGTTTGGCTCTTGGGGATGAATATGAGGCACAATGCATCAGGACAAGTCTAGTGCAAAGGTGGGCTGGCAGAGGTTTTCATCCTCTCTTGGTAAAATGCTAAAATGACATTTTAAATGAAGAATTTTTACTCATTTGTCTTCCGTTTCACAACGACAGGGCCTTTTATTTATTTCTTCAATTGATACTGCAAACATTTATGTAGGTTACTGATTCCCTCACAGCGTGTCATTCATTACAATCAGAACTCGCATTGTCTCTCACTTTTTAGTCTCAATTATTTCCTGCCAGCAGGGGTCACACAGCTACCGCAGCTTCTCATCACCACTGTGCCCCAGTCACTGATGCACTGAAAATCTCTTCTGGCTAAGAGACATACGGAAATGCCTCTCAGAGATACTGAAAATATAGTTCTGGGATATTATATTAATATGTATATTTTTAATTATATTTTATGGGAAAGAGCTGTAACAGAGGTTTTTTTTGGAACCTTAGATTTTTTAAATAGTAATATTATTACTGTTAAGTGTTGTAGTAGCTCAGACACATATGCTCATTATACACTTTGCCATGTTTGCAGGCTGCTACAGCATTCCCACTGCTAAACTTGACTCACAAATCTCTGTTACAAATGAATACAAAACTTCCTCTAGGAAAGGAAAAAATGAAGTAGCTGGCTGTTGGAACCCCACTAGGAAAAGCAAATTTATAGTCAGGATTTTAAATAAAACATTAATGCTTTCATATCTGATATACATGTCAGAATTGCCTTATTGGCAAACTTTACTTCTAAGAAAAAAATAACAAAGGAAAGAGCTGTTAAATATTAAAAGGCTCTTATAGAATATGAAAAAATAAATTAGGAGGCTGTAGTGTGAAACCTTTAGCCTACTTGTGCACAGTATAGGTATTTCTACTGCAGAAAATTAAGGATTCTACTGAGGCACCAGTGTTCCCTTGCACAAGATGTTTTACACACAAATACCAGAGGGACAGTTTTTTTCCAAGACAGCCAGAATCCTGGTTGGATAGATGGAAACAGTGGCTAAAAATATTTTTCCTGTCACTGTTAGCTGTTATAGAGATTCACAGCTGTCTCTCTTACAAAGGTGTTGATACCTCTGGATGTTACCTGCAGGCTGACCAGCAATGCACAGTCTCCAGAGGACACAAAGTGCTGCTCTCACTTCCCTTTATATATTGTGTCATGAAATATATGAGAACAACACATTTGACTGAAGTTTGTGCTGAAGTGCTGAAGTTTGGGGTTAAATTTTCAGAAGAAATAGTTTAAGCTGTGCCATAGGAATACTGCAGAAAAAGGCCAGGTTTGCTGCAAGGGGCATTATCCTGCCATGCCAGGAGAGCTCCATTCTCCATGGCTTCATTCTCCAGCCATGTTATTATAATTATGTTCTCTCAGGGAATCTGGAATCACATGTAGGTTTGAGCTACAGGTGGCTTGGTGGTACTAAGAATGGCCTTTGCTCTGTAACTACATTTCTGCAGGTTTCTGGTTTTCTGAAGCCAATTTAGTTTCAAATGAACAGCATGAAAATATATTGCAATGGAAAAAGGAAAGAAGAAAAGAGATTTAAATCTATGACTGTGAAGATATTTTAAACTGTCATTTGGATTACTTGATTACCCTTGATCTTATTTTTGTTTTTGTCGTGTACTGAAGTGATTAACTTCAAAAAGTGCCAGGAGAAGAAATATCAGAATTGTCAAAAGGTCAGGCCTGTAGGCAGTTTTGAAAAAAAAAAAAGACAAGAAATGAGAGGATGGCTCTGCAGACTTTAAAGGAAATAACAGAAGAGGTTGCAAATAGATATGTTTAATTATTTCTATAATGACAGTACTAAGTAGAGATGAAACAATCTGTCTGTAACTGAGAAATGCGCTCATTAAATGAAGTTAAGGCTAAGATCCGCCTTACTTTATCTCCATACAGCTCTACTTCAAATACATTCCAAATCAGTAAAACATTACCATATTAGACCAAAAGTTTTAAATCAGGAGTTAAAATTAGTTTGTTCATTTTTGTGAAAGTTTTCATAACCTTCAATTATTTCCATGCAAAAAGCCTGAGAGCTATAAAGACAAAAATAGAGGTGCACTCAGCAGCTCTCATTTTAAGACTCTGAAGTTCTGTGTATTATCTATTACAAACACTGAGATGTTGAAGTGGGACCAACTGGTGAGCTTTAAACATTAGATCAGAAATTGTAAGATGAGTGTAACTAAAGAACTGATACCAAGAGAGCTCATTATCTGGCCTCCTAAGATCTTCCTGATGTTATTTATTTCCTTCTGTCAAATAGGCAACATAGTGTGAGATGCTGAATGACGAAGTAATTTCAAGAAGAAATAATTAAAACATTTTAAGCTGCAAATTATTCTTTTTCTATGACAAATGATGGCCTTTTCAGGGCACAAAATTATACTATAAATAATGATGTTAATATGTGAGATGTGTTCTCATTCCATCATAAGATGCAGGAGATCCTTGTTGAAAAAATTGTCTGTTCACCTAGAAAGAGTATAGAGTGCATGCCTAAAAAGTAGTCAAAGCCCCTCCAAGGGAGCTTCCCATTAGTGCTGCAAGTCCTCTTCTACCTGATGGGAAGTCTCCAGCAGGAGGTCTATCCTGAAGAGATTGAAAGAAAAAGCTCATAAACACCCCACGTGTAGCACCTCAGAAAGAAGAAGAAGAGATGCAAGGGATGCAAAAGATGCTGGGTGACAAGGTGTGACTTTACTCAAATTCAGATGGAGATAAAACTGTCCCTGTTGCAGAAGGGCTCCCTGTGGCAACACCTCAGAGATGGTGAACAACACAAAGAGAAAAAGGACAAATTATATCATCTCTTCACCTCTGCTCATAAGGCCAGGCTCTTAAAAGAACCTTTGCAAAAAGAGTAAATTGGAATTAGAGTGACTGAATTCTTTAAGTACTCTGAAAGAAGTTGTGTTGCTGCTTCTGGAGGTGAGCTCAAAGTGGCAATGTGGTCCTGTTCACCACTGTGAAGCACCGTGAGTTTATAGCCTTACACCAGCTTAGTTCATAAACCGTGTCTTCAGAATCTGGCTCTTAAGCTGCCTCTTGGGTGCCCTGCATCTGCTGAATTACACCAGAAAGATCTGCCCCCACTCCTCTGCACCCTTTTCACCTTCCAATAAAGCCTCTAGAGAAGCTGACATGAAGTTAGGTAAGGACAGACATCCTCAGATAGCTGGTGTCCCTGTGTCTCTGAGACCCAGGATTTCTGAGACCACACAGCCCCCTGGAAGGTTTTTGTGGCTTTGTTCCTATGAACCAAACTCTCACTGAAGAGCTGTGAGAGAAGAGGCTAAAAAACTTCCTATGCCCTGGTAATTTTGAGTGAGTTTTCCTGTTTTCTTCCTTGGTAATATTTCCTTTGGAGATGGTGAACTGTGAGTAGACTCAAAGGTCTTTTAGAGGCTAAAGCCTGATGGTAATGATCTGTAAAGGTTTTGTCAGTGCATGTTCTTAACGGATTGTTAGTGTTTAACCACCACTTGAGGGAATGCTTTATGTGTCTGTAAACATCACTATCCCAAAGAAGATAGTGCTTCTAGGGAAATTCTTTTAAAAAGTGGATGAAGTTGCCTGGGGAAATGTGTTTTGGCACAATGATGTTAATCCTATTAGGCACAGTCCTGTCTTTGTTGCTCGTGTCACATTTTGCAAGAGGAGCTCATCAAACCTCTGTTTTATTTTTTGTTTTGTTTTGATGTGGCTTTTTTGTTTTGTTTGTTTGTTTGTTTGTTGTTTTGTTTTTTTTT